AATGGGTCTTCCTTCCCAGAATGGGTCTTCCTTCCCAAAATGGGTCTTCCTTCCCAGAATAGGTCTTCCCAAAATGGGTCTTCCTTCCCAGAATAGATCTTCCCAGAATGGGTCATGGGCGTCCTTCCCAGAAGAGGTCTTCCCAGAATGGGTCTTCCTTCCCAGAATAGATCTGCCCAGAATGGGTCTTCCTTCCCAGAATGGTTCTTCCTTCCCAGAATGGGTCTTCCTTCCCAGAATGGGTCTTCCTTCCCAAAATAGGTCTTCCCAGAATGGGTCTTCCTTCCCAGAATAGATCTTCCCAGAATGGGTCTTCCTTCCCAGAATAGGTCTTCCCAGAATGGGTCTTCCTTCCCAGAATGGGTCTTCCTTCCCAAAATGGGTCTTCCTTCCCAGAATAGGTCTTCCCAGAATGGGTCTTCCTTCCCAGAATAGATCTTCCCAGAATGGGTCTTCCTTCACAGAATGGGTCTTCCTTCCCAGAATAGGTCTTCACAGAATGGGTCTTCCTTCCCAGAATGGGTCTTCCTTCCCAGAATGGGTCTTCCTTCCCAGAATGGGTCTTCCTTCCCAGAATAGGTCTTCCCAGAATGGGTCTTCCTTCCCAGAATAGGTCTTCCCAGAATGGGTCTTCCTTCCCAGAATAGGTCTTCCCAGAATGGGTCTTCCTTCCCAGAATGGGTCTTCCTTCCCAAAATAGGTCTTCCCAGAATGGGTCTTCTTTCCCAGAATAGATCTTCCCAGAATGGGTCTTCCTTCCCAGAATCGGTCTTCCTTCCCAGAGTGGGTCTTCCTTCCCAGAATAGGTCTTCACAGAATGGGTCTTCCTTCCCAGAATGCGTCTTCCTTCCCAGAATAGGTCTTCCCAGAATGGGTCTTCCTTCCCAGAATAGATCTTCCCAGAATGGGTCTTCCTTCCCAGAATAGGTCTTCCCAGAATGGGTCTTCCTTCCCAGAATGGGTCTTCCTTCCCAAAATAGGTCTTCCCAGAATGGGTCTTCCTTCCCAGAATAGATCTTCCCAGAATGGGTCTTCCTTCCCAGAATAGGTCTTCCCAGAATGGGTCTTCCTTCCCAGAATGGGTCTTCCTTCCCAAAATAGGTCTTCCCAGAATGGGTCTTCTTTCCCAGAATAGATCTTCCCAGAATGGGTCTTCCTTCCCAGAATGGGTCTTCCTTCCCAGAATAGATCTTCCCAGAATGGGTCTTCCTTCCCAGAATGGGTCTTCCTTCCCAGAGTGAGTCTTCTTTCCAAGAATAGGTCTTCCCAGAGTGGGTCTTCTTTCCCAGAATAGGTCTTCCCAGAATGGGTCTTCCTTCCCAGAATAGATCTTCCCAGAATGGGTCTTCCTTCCCAGAATGGGTCTTCCTTCCCAGAATAGATCTTCCCAGAATGGGTCTTCCTTCCCAGAATGGGTCTTCCTTCCCAGAATAGGTCTTCACAGAATGGGTCTTCCTTCCCAGAATGGGTCTTCCTTCCCAGAGTGGGTCTTCCTTCCCAGAGTGGGTCTTCCTTCCCAGCATGGGTCTTCCTTTTCAGAATAGGTCTTCACATCCTCCGCTTTAAGTTTGTCCTAAATGTCATATCACAGTGTTTACATATACTCCACTGCTCCTGGTAATGGGTAGGGGACATCTGCTGCTCCCGTGTGTTCTGGGTATCATTCTAAAATATGGGATATTTTCTCACTTTCTTTGTCGATGACAACCGTCACAATTACAGAGGGGTGAATGGGAGACTCAGACACCAATAAAACAGACAGAGGGTCTAACCCTAGCCACGCACAGCTGCGCTAAATGCTGGTAGCACCCTGTGATTTCATAAAGAAGGGGTCTTCTAGTATTCGATTTTATATTTGACCCTGTTTCATGTTAGACCCACTGTCGTGTACCTGAATCACATGGTGCAGCATTCTGTTTTTATTTGAAATTAGTGTGTGGCTAGTGTTAGAACCTCTGTCAGTGATTTGTTGCCATCTGTGTTCCCTAATGTTATGAAAGGGGGCAGAAAACTGTACATGCTGATGTGATGCCAAACATACTGAAGATGGTTTTATCAAAACTGAAGCAGACAGACAGCTGCTTTCATTTTATTGCTTAAATAAACAAAGCTAGAATCTGATTGGTTACTGTGGACAACAGCTCCAGATTCTGTCTGCTCCAGTTTTGATACATTCCTCCAAATGTGTTCTACATTTTAATCTACAAAATTAAATTTCTAAGATTATTCCAGTGGAAGACTGACATGTCATGTGACAACACTTTAGTCGATGTCACTCCATATACTACAACTCTTCTCTGTCCCCGAGGACGTTCAGACTACAATGTTGCCGTACGTCACATGACCAGCGCTTTGCCAACCAAGATGGCGCTGACATCGCCAGCCACGCTGACGCATGCGCAACAGCGAGCCGAATCATTGAGAGATACAAGTACAGCGGCAGGGATTTCCAGTCACTGGGACACGAACGTTCTGCGCTGGTTTAAGTTGTTGCTCTTACACTTCCGTTTCCGATGCGAGCCGGTGACAGCTGTGATCTGGTGGTACAGACATGGAGCATCAGGCGGCGCATCTAGTGCTGAAGAACAGGAGAAGTACTCTGGAGAGAGTGGAGAAGTTTCTATCTGATGTGTACTTCACTGACTGCAACCTGCGGGGGAGGTTCTCTGATGATTCCTTCTGTCCTATACATCATGGTGTTATCTAAGCTGTGCCTTTGCTCTTTCCACCAGGGGCCACTCATCACGTTGCAGGAATGTGTGCTTTACCGTATCGTACGTTAAATGCATCGGTGCAATATAGTGCCATTCAGGTGTGTGTTGCAGCGTGGCCATACTGGTGGGCTGCCAGAAAATGATGCATGCATTGAATGTCATCACACCTCACCAATGCATTTAATGTGCATCCTCTCTCCTTGCAGTAATGTGTATGTATTATCACAACACCTTAGTGGGAATGAGTCCTTAACCACTTCAAGACCAGGTGTTTAGACCCCCTTCCTGGCCAGGCCATTTTTCAGTATTCAGCGTTGCGGTACTTTGACGTTTATTCCGTCATGCAACGCTGTACTGAAATGAATTTTATACAATTTTTTAGGGACAGATAGAGCGTTCTTTTGGTGGTATTTAATCACCACTACGGGTTTAATTTTTTATTATAATTAGGAAAAATTACTGAAAATTTTGAAAACATTATGTTAGAAAACATTCATGATTACCCAGTTTTTTTTGTAAAATATAAAAGACGGGGTCACGTCGGGTAAATAGACACCAAACATGTCAAGCTTTAAAATTGCGCGCACCTGCGAAATCGCAGAAAACTACCATACCCAACATTGGCCATAGGCGACACTTTAAAAGCTTTTACCGCTCATCAGTTTAGTGTTATCAGTGATTGACGGCCCTAGACTTATTGCTCTCACTCCGATAAGTAACTTTAAATTTTTGGGGGGGGGGGACTTTCCTTTTTTTTTTTTCCACTAAACTTTATTGCTATCACATACGGGGCTAATTAAACTCCCCTATGTGTTAGCAAAATATGTGACAGGTCCTCTTTATGGAGACATCAGGGGTCT